GTTACGAGTCGTCTTCGATAAGAGGATCGATAAATACCACCTTTCGAGTCGATATTAAGGGATGTCGCCTCGACGAGTCGGCTCGACGAGTCAACTAAGTCAGGATCATTGCTGGTCTTGGGCCGCCAATTTGATTGGGGCATTGCATACAGAAGTACACATGTCTATTGCTTGGTAATGAGTTGCACTTTGGCGAATGAGAACACCATAACATTTTCGCATATTGAAGGTGATGTTGATGGGAGTTCGCAAGGCGAGTTAGCTGGTGTGGTGGGGGGATACATACCCGGCGTGGTCCTTCTGTTGCCTAGTCGTGGCATGTGGAGTCATAAGAGGGACTATAGGCTGGAGTTTAGGCGGAGGATGAGTTGTCGAAGTCTGGTCTTCCGAGGGTCGAGGAGAAGCAGAGTAGATGTCTGTGGAGGAAGAAATCGATTGTGGAGTTCGTTGGTGAAAGCCATGAACTGCTGCTAGAAAGATTGGGTGATCCGCTGAGTGGACTCTTAATGGGCATGTTGATAAGAATAATAACGAATATGAGAGGATAGGATACATGGAGGTTTTGGGTATGGAGATAAGAACGACATGGGTAAATCAATTTTAGAGTCTGCGATATCGTATGTGTTGATGCTAATAATCGAACAGCTAATTAAGAGGGGGTTAGGTTGTCGAGAGTCCTCTAACTCCTCTAAATGTCCAGTTTCGGAGCAAGCTGTTCTTCCCTGCACGTGTAAGAAACTTGTAAGAGGACGGAGTTGGGTTCTCCGATTGTTCCTCCGACGATTAAGTTGATAAAATGCTTGAGTGAAGAAGAAAATGAACTGTAGGGGTCCAGAGCTTAGGGAGCAGAAAAAATTGCTTACCTGCGTGCTGAGAAGAGCCCTTCCATTTATAGTAATAATAGAGGGATGGTTTGGTAACTTCGGTCGAGTATGGGCTGACGGCTGAGTCAGTACTTACTTTACAGGTGTCGGCTACCCAGTGACGAGAGTCACTTTGGCGTTTAATATGAAGTGATAGGAGGCACGTGTTGCTGACATGGTCCGATATGTTATAAAGATCTTCGGGGACGGAGAAATGATGACTTTGACTATGTATTTAATGTGATAGTGACCAGCTATCAGCCGGGGGGCACAAGGTATGTCGTTGCCTTTCTACTCATTAGGTAGAGGGCCGAGAAGTAGCACCTTCTGAGTCGACTTC